AATAAAAAGGAGTTCACCAGAAAACCGACAGAATTAAATTAATTTGGCTCGGGCGACTAATCTATCCCTCGCTACTTTCCATCTAATAAATCCGTTAGAGAATTGGTACTACATATCCAGACATGTTCAAAAGTCTACGCTAATTTCCCCTAGTGCAATAAACGTCTGAAAGAGGGGACTATGGGCAAAACTTCATCAGCAGTGATATCTGGCAGTTGATTTTAGGAAAACTGCCACCCACTCTCAGTTACTGCAACTTATCTCTCAATCCTGTCAAGCCGAGTTTTAGCAGTTGTCGACTGCGGAGTCTCTCGAGTCACAAACGAATGTGCTCACCACTTTAGTTAATGAACTGTTTAACGGCTCCGGCAAAACATGTTCCTGATCAGTTTCATTCTTCCTTTTCGCTATTTTTTTCCCCTTTGTTAGTCATATAAGGCTTTACGAGAGAAATCGCGACATCGAAATTTTATCATTTTTCGCTGTATGTTTTATCTAACGTCATTATCTATTATTTTTTAAAAAACAACGGCAAACAAAAGTTTAAACTTTAAACAAAAAATATTGTTGCTAGAACGCATGCAGACGGCGTCGGCTTAAATTATGGAATCTTTCTTTTTTTAAAAGTTCGTCCATTTCAGCTGAATTTTCTCAAATAATGTTTAATTACTGAGAGGGGGAGGGCGGGGAAAGAAGTAAGTGGAACAATTTTCATCCGGAGACATTAGCCGTGAAAAAGCAGAAAAGTAAATTTATAAGAAAAAATTCTCTGCGTTAACAACTTTTTTCTAAACAATTAAAAATAAAAAATCGGCCAGCGCTTCGAGTGTCAATGCCGAGATACGTTTTTTGCATAGTTCCGTGCAAGTTTTTTTGCTAACGGCACCGGTTTATCCGACAGATGCTACTAGCTAAGCGAACTGAGGCTGGCCGCCAGAACTGTCAGGAAACGCTCCGTTAAAATTGTAGCTTTCTAGCTTTCCTAGTCCCTGAATTAGCAACTTACCCGCCAAAAACTTTCACTGGCCCGTACGTGAGAAATACGTGTAACTGGGAGCAAGGCTTGAAGTCACTAAATTCTACGTAGACCGAGGGCATCTCCTTAAAATTTTAGCTTTCTAACTTTTCAGCTTCCCGAGTTAGCAACTTACCTGTAAGAAACTTTTACTGACAATTACGTGGGAACCACGCATAAATGGAGCTGGGTTGGAACTTATTAAGACCTACATGGACGGGGAACATCCTCTTAAAATTTCAGCTTTCTAGCTTTTCTATTTCCCAAGTTAGCAGTTTACCGGCCAAAAACCTTGGTGGGCTCGTGCGTGGGTACCTCGCGGGTAAGAGCGCTCATTTTGAGTTTGGGACCCGTACATGCATGTAAACTAAGTTTCCAAAGTTTCAACCCTGTGGCTTTTCTAGGTTTCGAGATGAAAAATTGGCACAGACGAATACACACACACACACACAAACAAACAAACAAACAACCTCTCGACGATATGCTTTTTTGCATTGCACAAATGCAAAAAACGCATAAAAACTGGCTGAAATCCAATACTTCCTCTGCGCTAGGACGACCCGACGCCCAGATAATTCTGGGGACGGTGAAAGCCGCCCATCAATTTCTGCATTTCAGCAACGACTTTATCCCTAATGCATGAAAATTCGCTTTCCTAAACTGCTGCAATACTGTTGTAAATGTGCTGACAAAAAAGTCCACAAAGGTTTGATTTTATACACATGTTCCCTGTAAATTTTATATTATCAGGTCAGGTACCATTGCCTTCTGTTTTTTTTCTAGCTCAGCTCGCATCCTCTGGCTTCTCAGTTTCTTCTTTTGGTACTTTTCGCTACCATCCTGCTTTTACAGGTACGCTGTTTCCCAATTTGCTTCCCGGTCGTTTTAGCTTTTCTTCTGCAGAGTGAGGTAAAACGCTTACGAAAAAAAAGATGCATGTGTCACTTTCCAGCGCCAAAGATTGCGGAAACTTAGCACAGCAAAGAAATCAACGAGGGGTAGCCATTTCCGCAAGATAAACTTGTCATCGATAAGAATCTTCGGTGTCTTCGTTCTCGTTGCATTCGGCGAAATATGTCTGTTGAGACCCAGACTTTTTTTTAGAAGAGGACCGAGCATTTGCCTAAAGAGGTCTTGTTCCATATGATTTATATGAGTGCCACAGGTTTCCCCAGCTAAGACACTGCATGATAAGCCATTTATTTTACTGAACATGTGTTTGATAGCTGGTCTGATTTACTGAAGTTTTACACAAAAAAGGCGTGGTGTTTTGGCGTGCTGTTTTCGTCTGGCTATTCTAGCCCATGTTTTCCTCCATTTTATTATTATGCAAATGCTGGAAATCCTGAGCTGCTTATAGCAAGTGCTGCTTTTTTTTGCTTCTCCGCATCGGCAGGGCCGAGGATGGGCACACTAAAGAGGCCCCTACTTTCCTCTGCTGAGTAAGACACTTTGACTTAAAGAAAACATATACACACACACATACACACCACACACACATACACACGTACAACACATACATACACACAAACACATGCATTCAACGGATTGTTTTTCGACTGAACTTTAAAAATAACTAGAGTGAGGTTGCTGTGCCGAAGCGGAATATATTGGTAGTATTAATGATGGCGGCCTGTCTCGGCCTCGCACCGGAAAGCCATCACAACAATCCCTCAGTTTGCTGCGGCTGCTGCTGTTCATTTTTTGCTCCATCGGAGCAATTCTTGTCTGCCCGCCCGACTTTGTCCTTGGACATCGCTTCGCATGGCTTAAAGGAGGGCTCGGCCTGTGCCTAAGGCCTTCACAACAGCACTGCCTTCCCTGCTTCATTTACATATATATATGCTAGTCGCTGCGCCGCTCCTCGCCAGCTACTTTTTCCCGACAAAACCAACCAGTCAGCTATTTTTGTGCTACGGTGTATGTGTGTTAATGCATACATGTATGTGAGTGCGTGTGTCCTCTTGTTCCGTGCAGTCCAGGCCTTTATCATCAAGATGATCCAAGTTCTTGTCCGGAATATTGGACGTTTGTGTGTGTGAGTGTGTCTATCTTCACACGTGTGCTTGCGTGGATGCGCACAATTAACAAGATACGTTGCTGGAGCGTGGATGTTTTCAGGCGCAATGCCTCACTGTTAAAACATATACATCACTGTCTGGCTCTTGACTTGGATTCACTTCTGGCTTCTGTCTACCACCAATATCTTCGTGAAGTGTAAGTAACGTCGGCGCCTCCATCATCCTGTTTGTGTTCGCTGCTTCGCTCACTCTATCAGTTCAGAAGGGACAAGCCACTTCCACTTATCATTACCCTAGCATGAACTGTTGCTTCCATTTAACTTTCTTTGCTCTGGCAAATTTGCTAGCAACTGCTTGCATCCTGCACAGCTCATTTAGTTAAAAATCTGGCTTATAACCGTTGGAAGCTTTGAAAAGAACCTCTCGCCTTCCCATTGCGTTCACACAAAGCACGGGTTGTTTTCGGCAAAAAACGTTCACAAAAACACTTGCATAATTAAATTTATTTCATCCATAGTTTAGCAGCAACACCACAGGCCGCAGCTTCCTCTAGTTTATTGTGCAGTGGCTGCTTTTATTTGCCCTCTTTCACCGCTAAATCCGAGAAAGAAAAGATTCATGCACATCTCCATTCCGGATTACATACAGTTCTCTCCAACTTTTCCACGTATTTCGTGTTCAGGATCGACGTTTCCTTTAGCTGTGTTTGAAGTCAGCTCCGATCAGCATTTTTAATAACTGTCATAAATATTGGGAATGTAATGCGGGATACTGTAGCAGGCAAGTGTGGACGACGACGGCTTGGAAAGAGAAGTGCCTCCTCGAGCTTACGATGATGCAGCACGCCACGCAGGTTCATGCTCTTTGCCTGCAGTGGTAGTTCGAGCGTTATAAACCAACGAATTGTTGTAATCGGGCAGGAGGAATTTCCGGTAAGGCCCGGCTCATCAATCGGCGATCATCGTGGTTCACTGCAGCAATCCGGTAGGAACAGCCGAGGCTCAGCATCGTGTCCAGAAACATTTCGCACATATGCTGATAGCCCTGCTCGGGACACACCGCATTTTCGAAGTCGCAGCAATTCAAGAAGTGGCTCCAGAACTGAAATCCTACGTCCTGGCCAGTGGACAGCTGTAACGCCACAAGTCAAACTTCGAGCACTTACACCAAGTGAGCAGCACGAAGTTTTTGAAGCACAGAAAAGAGAAGGGTTACTGCATAAAGCATCAGAACAGGGTGAGTGTTTATGAGAATCCCATCCTTTATAGCTTTGCCTCAAATCCGCTGTCTGTCACTTCGTGAATTGATTGCAAAACCCAAAGAAGCCAACTTCGCACTCTCTAAAGTTTATTTGAGGGAGAGCAGCAGCTGTTAATATGCCAATCAGCCGCATTAACAAAGTCGATACTGCTTTTGGGTGGCTCTTTTGCATTTTGAAATCAACTTTTGGTCGCTTAACTTTTCTTCCTTGTTGATGCAATTTTCAAAATCCACTGATACTGCGGAATTGCATAAAGGGATGTGTAACTAACGCAGTTGGCTCTGAAGATTTAGCGATAAGAGAAAGAAAGCTAATACAATTGTATTGAAAGGCGAATATCTGGCCAGTTTTCTTCCAGACAAATTCGAAAGGCGAAACATGTTATTCAGTGATTTAGAACATCACCTCCTCCTTTTTGTAAATACATGTCTTCAAGGCCAACAAGTGTTTTTGTTTTTAACAACGCTAATCTGGCTTTTGAAAAATTTCCTCTCAGTTTTTACTCTAAAAAGTTGCTCAAAAAATAATATTTTTATGCATCCTCTACTGATGTATATAAAAATAAAATACCAAAAGTACATCAAACTTAAGTTATTTTTAGCATCTGTAACAAAAATGGATGAGAGTACGGACGGAAGTGGCGTTCAAAACATTGAATTGATCCATCGCGTTCCAGATAGTCCCGGATCCCGCTCCAACTATGGAGAATTCTACTGGTAAGTTTCTCGTGCCTTGTAACCAAAAAAAGTTCACAATAAACACAAAAGACCCAAACATTTTTAAGTCTAATGCATAATATTAAAACGAAAAAAGAAGGGTAAATTATTACCCTAGAAGTCAGGATGAAATTTTTATCTGCTCTAAACTGAAAGAAATAGCACCCGGGAGATAGCAGTAATAATCGATGACGCCAGAAACAGCCCGTGGTATCAAAATCCGCGATTTCCAAATAATTTTTATGTGGTTTAAGTAGTTTAAAATCCAGTTTTTTTTTTTTTCAAATCTTTTAAAACAAAACAATAGGAACCAGCTCCTTTCGTTTTTTTCGCCAAAGCCCTACAACATGGAAGTACCACAATTAAGCATCTATCTTCTAATCTTTTTCATGCACACGTTCCAGTAAAATATTCTATTCCTTTGCAGTAGCTGCATGTTAATGTTTAAATATTTTTTTCTAAATAAGAGTTTTGATTACAACTCCAGTTACTAGTATTTACATATGAAGAGCTGTAGAGAGAGCGTAATTGACTGCCTTGACGACTGCTTATACAAATCACCTCCAAAAGAGGTGTGTGCGTAAGGTGAAAATGTCAGTACAAGTCGGAAGCATGCAGTCTATGATAGAAGATGAGCCTGACATAGCTGCAAATCACAGCAACCTCAACAGCTTCGTGCGGAAATGCTTTTTACAAATTTGCTTGGTTTGTGGATTGAAATTTTCTAAAATTTTTTTAACATTTATTTGCTTGGAAATTAATATTGACCAGACGAAAAAAATGATGCAGTGTGACACGAACTACTAGCGCCGAAACGCTTACTAGCAAATGCTTGAGAGAAACGGATGCAGGAGAAAGCGATGAGAAGGCGGGCGCAAAATGCTCAAAGTGCAATTGGAATCCAATAAGTGCGCACACAAGCTTTTCAAATTCGCATAACGCATGGATATTCGTTACCCAGACGCCAGACATGTGCGCAAGAGCTGAAAATGGGGGAAAGGCCAAATTGAATGGATGGCAAGAGCTATTTCGATCTCTTCAAGAATAATAAATGAGGCAGCCAGTGGAAATACGCCTCAGACATGCCTGCTTCACTCCATCTGCAAAAAATTCTATGCTTACAGTTTGTGCAGCAGAGGAATTTGGACTTAATTTTCCCGGAGTCCCATTTACTTACGTCATGCATTGAGCCCCTGCATCTCGCTTATTTCACGAGAGCTGCTGGCAATAAGAAATATGTAGTCCGCGAAGTATAAATGATTTATCTGCTCGCCGTTGATTTCTAGACCGCTTTTACATACCGATTTCCTAAATACCATTTCCAGGCAGGTCGTGAAAAGCTTGAGTGGTATATGATCGCCCTGTCTCACTCCCTTCTCGATCAGTATGCAGACTGGAGTGAAAATAGCGTGATAATTATTCAGGCTTTCAGAACGCTGCCATTTCAGCAACCTTCTGAAAGCCAGAAAAAAACTACCACGCCATGATACACTAAATGTTACAACATATCAGTCAAAAAGGGGAAGCACAAAACATGGTCCTGATCATAAGATTAAACTCGCAAGAGAATGCATGTTGCTCGCTTTGCTAAAAGACTGCTGGTTGTGCAATAATGAGGCTGAAGAGCAGAAGCGGAGAGAAAACAAACAGTAAGGGTGGGCGTCGGCCTTTTTTTGTGATTAACTAAGTGAATTAAAGTCTTTCTGAATCGACAGTTTTAGTTGAGAATTTTTCTGACAGTTCTGAAAGCGAAATTTCTACACAGGCTTCAAAAAATCAAACCCGACCTCTTCGTCTTTTTGACCCCTTTGCGCTCTCCCACTCACTGCAAACGGTGTTCTGCATGCGCGCAATGGAAGTGATTCGTAGAAGCTGGGGACAGACAGTGCACAACAGGTGGGCTTAACGCAAATAGCTTGACATGTGGCTGCAATTCTTAATGACATCGAATGCGTTCTAACGATCAAGTGACAGTGAAACAAGTAGGCAAACTTCCCCTTTTTAAGCGTTTGTTGCAGCAATGCAATGCGAAAAACGCATATGTGTGTGTGTCTGTTTGTGTGTGTGTGTGTGTGTCTGTGTGCGCGCAAGGCGTCTGTACCAATTTTTCATCTCGAGACCGGCAAAAGCTACAGGGCTGAAACTTTGGTTCTTAATCTACATGCGCTTATGGGCTCCCACCCCCAAAATGGGCGGTCTTACCCGCGTGGTATCCACGTAAGAGCCCGCCAAAGCTTTTAACGAGTAAGTTGCTAACTCGCGAACCAGAAAAACTAGAAAGCTGAAATTTTAAGGGGATGTCCCCCGTCCAAGTAGGTATTAATGAGCTCAAGCCCAGTCCTCGGGTAAGCGTGGTGTCCGCGTAGGGGCCCGCCAAATTTCTTCCCAGTAAATTCATAACTCGGGGATCTAAGATGCTAGAAAACTGTAACATTAAGAGGGTGTTTCTCGCCCACATTATTCTCATTGAGATGAAACCCAGCCCTCAATCATGCGTGATACCTACGCACGGGTTCACCAAAGTTTTTCTCGGATAAAATCATAACTCGAGAACCTGTAAAGCTAAAAGACTGTAGTTTTAGGAAGATGTTCCTCGTCCAAGTAAGTCTCAACGAGCTCAAACCCAGACATCGGGTATGCGTGGAACCCGAGTGCGGACTCGTGAAAAATTTTTTCCAGTAAATTGCTAACTCAGAAGCCAGGAAAGCTAGAGAGCTGAAATTTTAAGGGGGTATTTCCTGCCAGTTCTGGCGGCCAGTCTTAATTTGTTTAGCTAGAAGCATTTGCCGGAAAAACCGATGCCGATAGCGACAAAAACTGCGGGGCGCTATGCAAAAAACGCATCATCGCACGGACAGCCCGTGCGTTGGCCAATTATTTTTGAACATCCTCATCCGCGGCATAGAACGAATATTATCTTCATCGAAAAAGAGACAAAAATCGACAATTTTATTGATCGTTTTTGGTAATCATCTCTATTTTTAATCAATTCCAGCAGTGAGTAATAAGTTGGGTCATTTTTTTGAAGTGAGTGTATGAAATTCTCCTTCTTTCAAACATATTAATTACAACTAGTAGTCTAACACCTCTATTACACAGCTGCTTTACATTATTAATTTTCTTTCAGCGAAGTACCAACTAATTAAAAAAAAAAAACAATTCTCCATAAATTGCTAAGAAGTCTCCATCGGATAACATTCTGGCCATGGCAGTAACACTACCAGAAAGTGGCTGAGTTCCGGCTAAACTTTTTTAATATTTTACTGCGCTTATCACAAAAACCATTCCAGCAAAACTGTTTCCTAAGTTAGCATCTAATAACTAGAAAAGGAGCTCACAAGCAGTAAAAATAGATGCGAATTTTGATAAAAAAGGGGAAACTGATCTAGTCGGCTAGACATCTGCCTCACTGGGGACAATAAATTAAATTAAAAAGGGCTAAAATGCATGGCAACAGAAGTAACACTCGGGCACTAAACTGAGCGAGAAAAAAAAATACAGACACTTAGGCTCGAGCTTCTTTTTCTTACGCCAAGAACATAGGGGAATCTCACGCTACTGACGTTGCTGGAATGCTCCTATACGGATGCAGTTATGCCATCTTCTTTGAAGCTAAGTTATATAATTCCAACTAGTGTTCACTGCATAATTGCCACCAAATATAAGTATATATACCTGCCTTCTTCTTGGACTATGCTGAGAGTTTTTATGAAAGAGGACCTTGAACTAAGCACAACTGTTTGGAAGGATGCTGCAGACTGCTACTGCACTATCGAGTTGCCGTGAGCAACAAAACAAGGGCTCGAAAAGTGATCTCGAAATTCGAACGGTGCATAGTGCTATGGAAAAACACACAAACACATAGAGTCACACTTCTACAAGGTTAAGCCCTCCGAAAATTTGAGGGTAGTAAAATTTTCGTAAAAATATTGATTGCCACATGTTGCAAAAATTTTCTTAAAACAGGCCAAAAATGAAATAATTCGCAGACTAGTTTGTCAGCTGGGCATTTTGAATGACGGGCACCAGTTCGGATTATATTATAGCAACAATGTCGTAGACCATTAGACCGTCGCCGAACAGGGCAAAAAAGAATATATATTCCGGACAAAAAATCCTTTGCGATAAAAGTGTGCTCATATGTATATGTATATACATATACATATATACACACATATATATATATGTATATATATATATATATATATATATTCAAAAAGGCGGGGCGTGTTCAAGAGTGGGGTGGGATGCCGAATTGACGCAGACTGAAATGCAATTCTGGATAAGGAACGGAAAGAGTTTAGAAGCAAAAGCCAAATCCAGCCATAGTGATAATGTGTGCTAGCAGGCAATAAATTTAAGAGGAAAAATTCAAGTACCACTTGGTTCGGAAACACAGAAGTGAAAGACTCGCCAAATTCGAATAATGAATTCTCTTTTTTCATAGTCTACTCCTGGATATGCTCCTCTCACAAGGCATAGACACAGATGTGGCAATGCACAGTCGTAAATTGAACAAGTTTAACAAGAATGCATTCCTATTTCCGGGATGAATACAGGGATACGAATGGTGAAAACGTTTATCACGTTGCGGATTCATTCGACAGCGACCTGATGCTAGAGATCGACAGCTATGGAAAAGGCGTATCTGCAGCACGGCTTGATCGTACCCAGGAAGATCTTAATAAATACCGCCAACGTATTGATGCTAATGTGGAGCACCAAAAGGAGTATTCCGATATGATGGCTGCTCTACAGCACAAGGTTGTAACAAAGCTCTTTTTTTCAGCCTGACTTACACGTATGTCTCGCTTTTTATGCGTTATTGTATACATGCAAATGCAAAAATGCATATTGTGACAACTATGGTGTGCGTGTGAGTGTGTATGAATGTGTATATGTGTGTACTTGTGTGCGTCTGTCCGGGTATTTCAACTCGACAATCAAGCAAGTTTGGATACTGAAATTTTTGGGATCCCGGCCAAGTGCCACCCAGGGGCTACGGTAGCAACCCCACGCATGTCTGGGCTTCGCATATGAGCATGTGAAAGTTTTGGCCGAAAAATTGTTAACTCGGGAACCAGAAAAGCTGGAAAGCCGAAACTTGAAGGTGATGCTCCCTGCCCACATACAACTTAAAAGTCTCACGTCCAATCCCCAGGTGTTCCTGGCGCTCACGTATGGATACGTAAAAGTGTTGACGTGAAAATTCCTAAATCAGGAACCAGAAAAGCTAGAAAGCTGAAATTTTAAAGGGGCGCCCACATACATAAAATGTTGGCGCGCACCATGATGGCTGATACGATTATGCATTTTGTACAACTCTGACTAGCTGACGTTTATGCAAATCTGCCAGGGGAACCTTGCTGTTAAAAGAACTCACTGTATTACTGCTTGACAAGTACAGAAATTCTTTTGGTTACTGAGCTAATAATTTTCGCACCAAAACTTTCACGTGTCCGCACACGAAACCTGGGCGCACGTGAAGGCTGAATTTAACTTTACGGGATCACATGTGTGCAGTGAACATTCTCCTAAAATCATAACTTCCTAGCTTTTGTGCTTCGCGAGTTATTAATTTAGGCCAAACTTTCACGTGGCCGTATGCGAAATCTAGGTGCACGCGGACCCCGAATTTAAATTCGCGAAATCACACGCGGAGTTCCCCCCCCCCCCC